ATCCCTGGAGATATTTAAAAGCAGGTTAGACAGACATCTATCAGGGATGGTCTAGATGGTGTTGAGACCTTCTGGGAGGGCAGGGGACTGGACTCGATGACCTCTCGAGGTCTCTTCCAGTTCTATGATTCTAAGATTCTATGATTGCTGGCTGATGATGGCACATATCACTTGAGCGGATGTGCAGGTGGCTGGTTTGGTTAGGTCCTGTGATGGTGTCACTTGTATAGATATGCAGATAGAACTGGCAGCAGGGTTCGTTGCAGGGATAGTTTCCTGGGCTAATATTTCCGTGATGTGGTATGTGGCTGCTGGTGAGCATTTGCTGCAGGAAGACACGCATCTGAGGCAAAGTATTTTATTGGGCCAAGTTCCATTGGTGAAAAAGGCAAGCTTTCAAGCCACCCAGAGCTCTTTCTCAGGTCTGAGAAAAGTACTCCAAGTATCACAGCTAAATGCAAGGTGGAACACATTGTTTAGCACAAGTAGCTAGCACATTTTTTAGGATCAGGTATACACAACTCCAGTTATGTAGAATATGTAGCTGGAGTCAGCTTCCTTTAAGCTGAGCTTGGTGGCTTCCTTTACTCCTTGCCAGAGCAGGGAGTAAGAGAAGCCCTGGGGGAGTTCTCTGAATTTGATTTAGTGAGTCTTAGCTAGACTCGCTAAATCAAACACCAGAAGATTGATTGTAGCAGCATCAATCTTCTGTGGAGTGAAGATGTGGCCTAAAGGACCATTCAAGGCAGATGGCCTGATAACACCTCTGCAATCATATGACAAAAATAGGGGCTTAATGAGTTAAAGGTTGTTGTAATAAGTCATAATTCCAGTGTGTCTGATAGTTAGTCCCTGATTGTTAGTGTCTAGCACAGTTACGAATTTGAGCTCCCAGTCTTGTGAAAACAGAGTGTAGGTTTCCTTTGAGGATGAGGGGTATTAGAACAGATAAGCAGTGATAGCACACCACTTTCCAAAGACTCACCAAAATCTCTAAGGCAAACTAAGCAGTCATAGGCCAAGAGGGAAAGTCCTCTCATGGATCAGTAACTGGTTAAAGGACATCTGTGCTGTGCCTTTTCTCTAGAGGCTGTCATCAGTGTATTGTCCTCAGTTATAAAACACCACGTAGCTCATTCTAAGCAAGCACCTTTATTCTTAAGGGAAGGCATTTCAGAGACAGCATTTTGAAACCAATAAAAGAACCTACAAGCACACTAATGATGTTACCAAGAATGGCCCAGATCTCTAGCTATGGGCGTTGGTAGGTGTCAATCTGCCAAAACCCACAGCTGAGTTTTTCCCTGTGGTTACAAATGTATAACTGTCTCAGATTCACAACCAGACCCTCATTGGGCATTTGATCTATCTCTTCACGAAGCTCAGATTTTTTGATTACCAGTCTCAAGGAACAAAATCAGCAGACAATGACCCCTTCCGGAGGACACAGCTTCTAAGGGTTGGTATGTGTATAGTCAGAGGCTGGGACATCGTTTTAGCATCTCCTTAAGTATTCCCCAGGAAATGCAATTCACACTTAGGGTGTGTCTAGACTACAGGGTTTTGTCGACAAAAGTGGACTTTTGTCAACAAAACTATACCTGCGTCTACACTGCCGCTGAGTTCTGTCGCCATGACGTCGACAGAACTCAGCAGTTTTATCCAGTTCTGTCGATAAAGTAAGCTGCTTTGTCGACATGACAGTGTAGACGCAAAGGATAGTGTAGAAGCAATAACGCCTTCTGTCGACAGAACTCTATTGACAAAAGGCATTATTCCTCGTAGAATGAGGTTTACAGCCATCAACAAAACTGCTGAGTTCTGTTGACGTTATGCCGACAGAACTCAGCGGCCGTGTAGATGCAGGTATAGTTTTGTCAACAAAAGTCCACTTTTGTCAACAAAACCCTGTAGGCTAGACACACACTAGTATCTATGCTTTGCTTTCTTTCTAGAGGCTATGACCAATATTTATTGCCTGTCTTGATAAAACCTCACACAGCTCATTGTAAGCAAACATAGTTAATGTGAAAGTGAAAGCAGCACAGAAAAAAGAACCTACTCACGTGCTAAAAATATTACGATAAGTGGTCCCAAACTCCAAGCACAGAATCTGGAAGGTGGCAATACTCCAAAACCTGCAATTGCATTCTTTCCTTGGTTACCAGTTCATAACTCTTTCAGTACCAGAACAGAGACTGGGCAACGGATCCATCTCTTTGACCTTGGATTTCCAGTCTCTGGAAACATAATCAGCAGACAATGACCCGTTCCTGAGGGCATGGCTTGAGCAGGCTGGTTTTGCAGAACTGGAGCTGTGAAAATTGGTGAGGCCACATCTGCTTCCAGTTGTGGGGCCCCCGCTACAGAAAGGATGGGGATGCATTGGAGAAAGTCCAAATGAGGGCAACAAAAATGTTAAGGGGGTTGGAGCACACGACGTATGAGGAGAGGCTGAGGGATTCGGGCTTATTTGGTCTACAGAAGAGAAGAGTGAGGGGGGATTGATAGAACCCTTTAACTACCTGAAGGGGGGTTCCAAAGAGGATGGAGAGAGGCTGTTCTCAGCGGTGACAAAACGAGGAACAATGGTCTCAAGTTGCAATGGGGGAGGTCTAGGTTGGATATTAGGAAAAACTATTTCACTAGGAGGGTGGTGAAGCACTGGAATGGGTTACCTAGGGAGGTGGTGAACTCTCCATCCCTGGAGATTTTTAAGTCCTGGCTTGACAAAGCCCTGGCTGGGATGATTTAGTTGGGATTGGTCCTGCTTTTACCTGTAGGTTGGACTCGATGACCTCCTGAGGTCTCTTCCAACCCTATGGGTACGTCTACACTACATGCCTCTGTCGGCAGAGGCATGTAGATTTGTTTATTCAGCAAAGGTAAATGAAGCCGCGATTTAAATGATCGCGGCTTCATTTACATTTACATTTACATGGCTGCCGCGCTGAGCCGACAAACAGCTGATCAGTAAACCTCATTCCACGAGGAATAATGGGGCTGCTGACAAAGGGCTTTGATGTCGACAGGTGGAACGTCCAGACTAGCGGCGAGCCGACAAACAGCTGATTTACATTTCAGCGCGGCAGCCATGTAAATGTAAATGAAGCCGCGATCATTTAAATCGCGGCTTCATTTACCTTTGCCTACAACCCAAATCTACATGCCTCTGCCAACAGAGGCATGTAGTGTAGACACAGCCTCAGTGTATGCAGATGTTAGCTGTTTGTCGGCTCAGCGCGGCAGCCATGTAAATGTAAATGAAGCCGCGATCATTTAAATCGCGGCTTCATTTACCTTTGCCTACAACCCAAATCTACATGCCTCTGCCAACAGAGGCATGTAGTGTAGACACAGCCTATGAGTCTATGATTCTATTAATGTCTCTCTAGGTAATCCCTAGGAAATCTGCTTCTTGATTATTGTCCAAAAAAATCCATTCTTGTTGGACACATTTCAGATATAGTCCTTTGAACTCACATGTCCCCACTAGAGAGATTACATGCTATCCTAGCCCACAACAATAAATAAACTTTGCATTTAATTTATGGACCCCAGATATACTTAGACTTAATTCAATAAGCTTTCCCAAAGAGATGTAGGAAATGTCGATATCTGCCATAATTATGTTATATTTTTAATGTATAATAAAAATAATAACAATACACTTGCAATTTTCAAACAAAAGTGATCAGACTTAACAAAATCCATATTTCTCACCCAAGGACTATGAACGTGCTGTGACTATAAGTGCCTATATTCACCACTTGCATTAAAAGAGGGCAGATTTATTTACTTCAGCCAATTAGAAGTTAGCAGTCTCTAAGGACACATCTACACAGCAGGACAAAAGTTGACTTGAGATACACAACTTCAGCTACTTCAATTGCATAGCTGAAGTCGAAATAGCTTAATTTGGCTTTTGGCATTGTCTTCATAGTAGGAAGCTGAAGGGAGATTGCTCTTCTTTCGTATTCCCTTACTCCTTGTAGAATGAGGGTTACAGGAGTCAGAGTAAGAAGTCCTCCAGCTTGACATTATTTTGAATTAATGGCTTGCTGTGTATTTTGTTACAGTATTTTGAAATAGCGTCAGTTATTCCGAAATAATGCTGCTGTGTAGATGTACCTTAAGTGGACCGAGCATACACAGAACATTTTGCAATGTTAATTTTATATATATATATATATATACAGGGGTCGACAAATCACTGTTTCTACTACTCGCCCATGGCGAGTAGATTTCAGCTGGTTGCTCCATTTGCCCAGTTCACCGCTGCTGTGTGCATGCGCAGTGCTGGTCTGGTGCATGCGCAGTGCGGGCCTGGTGAGTAGATCTCGCTGCAGTTTGTTGAGCCCTGTGTATATATATATATTTTTTTATATATATATATATACTGGCAGCCACCAGGTTACATGGATCCGATTTATATCGGATCCCTACTTACAAACGGGGTGAGGCAACCCCGCACTAGCTGCTTCCCCCCAGCAGACCAGGGAGACGCGGAGCGGCTTTTCTCAGCAGACACCTCAGCTTGAGAATAAAGGACTGAGGGAAGTGAGGTGTGGGAGAATAAAACTGAGCTCTGGAGAAATGTTTGACTAGAGTTTCCCCTACAATATGTACCAGTTCCGACTTACATACAAATTCAACTTAAGAACAAACCTACAGTCCCTATCTTGTACGTAACCCGGGGACTGCCTGGGTGTATATATATATAAATTGTATATATATAATTTGATTGTTAATTTTTATTATACTGACTATCTATCTATCTATCTATCTATCTATCTATCTATCTATCTATCTATCTATCTATCTATCTATCTATCTATCTATCTATCTATCTATCATGTATTTTATTACTTCTGGCAGATGGCAAAAATGGACAAATAGAAGTGGTTTAGGTTTTCCTGCAAAATTTAACTCTGCCTTCCTGTAGATCACAGCACTGGCACAATAAACCTAACAACCAGAATTAGATCGAAGTGCTACAGTCGTGGTGTCCAACACACTATCCACTAGCCACATGTGGCTACTTGGCTGGTTGAGTGTGGCTAGTTCATTATAGCAGTAGCCGCTATAGTGGCTACTGCTTCAGAACTGGTTGGACGCCACGGTAACAGCCTATGGGATACTAACCTGTTGTGTCCTGCAGGCAGAGAATAGGAGGGACCAAGGTGCCACTTATGCAGGAGGCCCCTGCAAAGACAGGGAATTGATTTAGTGAGGGGAAATGTGCATAAAACAGAGAAAAGCAGTGTGGAAAAATGGTCAGCTGAATGGTCAACTCCTGTGCTCTCTTCCACCCGATATCATGGTCCAAAGCCAGGAGGGCTCTTTTGTCATCTCTCAGGTCAGTGCAAAGCTCAGTTCTCTGCTGATGAGTTTTCTTAGAGAGGTTTTCGCATCCTTGTTCCTCAAGCTGTAGATCAGGGGGTTCAGCATGGGGATCACCACCGTGTAGAACACAGAGGCCCATTTGTCCTGGTCCAGGGCGTACACTGACATGGGCCGAAGGTACATGAAGATGATGGTCCCGTAGAACAGGGTGACCCCTGTGAAGTGAGAGCTGCAGGTGGAGAAGGCCTTGTGCCTGCCCTCAGTGGAGCGGATCCTCAGGATGGCAGAGAGGATGAAGGCGTAGGAGACGAGGATGATGGCAAGGGAGCTCATCTCGACAAAGCCCGCGAATGTAAAGAGCAAGATCTCGTTGAGGCGGGTGTCAGAGGAGGACAGCGCCAGGAGCGGGGGGACATCACAGAAGAAGTGATTGACGGTGTTGGGGCCACAGAAGTCCAGGCGGAAGGTGGCCGTGGTGTGTATCACTGCGTTCACCGTGCCGGCGACGTAGGAGCTGATTACAAGCCGGAGGCAGAGCCCCCTAGACATAGTGGCGGAGTAGAGTAGGGGGTTGCAGATGGCCACATAGCGGTCATAGGCCATCACAGCCAGAATGTAGCAATCTGTGGTCACAAAGGCAGCGAAGAAATACAGCTGGGCAGTGCAGCTGGAGAAGCTGATGGTTCCCTTCTGAGAGAAGAAGTCAGCCAGCATCCTGGGGGCGATGGCGGAAGAGTAACAGAGATCGCAGAAGGCAAGGTGCCAAAGAAAGAAGTACATGGGGGTGTGAAGCTGGGGATCATGCGTGATGAGGACGACCATGCCCAGGTTCCCCACCAGGTTCACCAGGTAGATGGCCAGGAACACCATGAAGAAGACGATTTGCATCTGTGGATCATCGGTGATCCCTGTGACGGTGAACTCCGTCACCGTAGTGCAATTGCCGTGAGCCATGTACTCAGTGTAGCATCATTTCGGGAGTGTGAAAGAAGCTGAGCAGCAGAGATAAGCAGGGTCTACAAATCTCACCGACATTTGAATAGGGCAATTGTCAGTCTCCCCTCAGAGCCTTCCCCAGTGAGATCCTAGCTCAGGGTCTCCCTCAGATGCGCCTGTGCGGACAGAAGTGCAGGAAAAGTGATCAGCTCCTCTCTCTGGTGGGAAAAAACAACCCGAAGACACAAACCCAAGCGAGAACACAGGGAGCCTAGTTCCAAAAAGGGACATTGCCAGCTAGACCATCTCCTGGCTGTACCTAGCAATGGCTAAGCCTGGGGGAAAATCTGATCTGCAGATCACCTATTTGCCATCAGCACACGTGAAACGAATATTATTGCTGAGACCTGGCTCCTTGGTTAATGTACAGGTTGGACCATCCTGGTCTGGCACCCTCAGGACCAGTGTCAAATGAGGGAGTTTGCTGAAGCAGGGGAGATTAATATCAGTCTGCCTGGGATGCTGTCCCCAACACTGATGCCTCAGCAAGGCTCCTGGGCCCAGCACGGCTGACCGCCCTGCAGGGCCGGCTCCCAGCCACTGGCCCGCCTTTTACCAGACTCCTGCCTGTCGGGGATCTCCAGTCCAGGAACATCCATGGTCCTTGCAGGACCAGAGAGTCCCAGTTGAGAGAGGTTCAACCTCCACTGCTTAAATGTTTATTCTGAAGACTCAAACAGCATTCAGGTGCTCCATAAAGCTGGTGCTTGCCTTATGTCATGGTACTATAAGGGACTGTTTTCTACTCCTTTCTTGTGCAAAAGGATGCCTTTGCTATAGCTCATTAAAAATAACAGAACTTTAAAAAAAGCTAAATCCTACATACCCTGATGCATTTCTTAGGTAGTGTATTTAGATAGCATGGTGACTGGCACTGCAAACAGACAGACAGACAGATAGAGTTTGTGGGGATAAATAGATAGACTGTATGTAGATAGATAGATAGAGGGGGTGTATGGGGATAGATAGATAGATAGATAGATAGATAGATAGGGTGTATGGGCAAAGATAGATAGACTAGGAATAGATAGATTGGGAATAGATAGATAGATAGACAGACAGATGGGGTGTATGAGGATAGATAGATAGAGAGAGAGAGAGGTTATGGGGAGAGATAGATAGATAGATAGATAGATAGATAGATAGATAGATAGATAGATAGATAGATAGATAGATAATCTGAATCCCTCTGGTGACCTTACAGAACTTACCCAGAGTCCTTGTGAAGGTTCTACAGGAGATGCTGGGAATCTGTTGCTTTTCTTATTGCCTCCTGAAATAGAAAAGGGCTGAACCACAAAGTTACCTCTGAGAACAATGGCTTGGCACATTTCCCGCAGATCCCTCGGAACTGTGCGTTCTCTCTGCCTGCCCTCCCACAGAGATGCTATTTATTGCTCAGGGAGGCCCCTGAAGGAGGCGAAGGAGATGCAGGGAAGGGGTGTGAGCTGATTCCTCCTGAAGCTGTCAGCTCTGAAGCCAGAATTCCCCTAGCAGAAGAGTCATGCCTGAATCCATACCTGTGGATGCAGCACCCACTTTTTAGTGCTCTGTTCTGCTTGGTGATTGCCCTACACTCTGCTTTAGTGTATTTAGTTTCAGGGAGGCCCCTGAAGGAGGCGAAGGAGATGCAGGGAAGGGGTGTGAGCTGATTCCTCCTGAAGCTGTCAGCTCTGAAGCCAGAATTCCCCTAGCAGAAGAGTCATGCCTGAATCCATACCTGTGGATGCAGCACCCACTTTTTAGTGCTCTGTTCTGCTTGGTGATTGCCCTACACTCTGCTTTAGTGTATTTAGTTCCA